ATATGTGTGTGTGTGTGTGTGTGTGTGTGTGTATATTTGAATGCGTGCGGGAGGGACAATATAAGACACATACTATTATTGCTGGGTGCATGCGTGTGTATCGTATTTGTAGTAAAGAAGCATGAGGTATAAATCTGTCGCGACAAATGTGCCTGACCCGACCAGCAACTGTTGCCTTTGCTAATGAATGCAACTTCTTCAGTTGTATCAGATGAATTTGCACTTACATACGTTCACTATTGTCTGGTTTGCATCTTGTTCTCAGTATAATAGTTGAAGTGCTTGTTGATGGACTGATGACTATCTGAGGATAGCTCTATGGACTCATAGTTGAAATTTCAGCGTCAACTAAACAATATTCGGCAAATGTTCACTGCTTTGCGCACGCAAACAGAGAATGACTTTGGTATCAACGACACGTACACCGTTGAGGCGTTCGAGCGCTGGGCTTTGCAAAGCTTTCGGTCAGATGCAGCTCAACCGGAATTAGATACACGAAGGTTACGCGATAAAAAGGGTGGAGGTGCAGATGAATCAATCAATAACCAGGACCCTATCTTTGCAGGTACTTTGACATGCGTTTGCTCGGTCTTATTTCGGACTAGAATATTGTCCAAGTTGAAGTTCTTTGCTCGGGCTGTTTGTGCGGAGATGTAAATTTTAAAAGCTTCTGATAGGGACTGGTAGCATAAAGACACAGGTCTTTCTTGAATCTACCACTGCATAGTGCTTTTGACCCACTAAAATTGTATTCCTTCGCCAGTTATAATTCTCAACAACTGCCACTTTCCATTCTTTGGATCGACCGATCCAGGCCACTCATCATTGGAGAGATATTGGTATGGGTTGTGCCTTAGAATGACGTAATTGTAGGCGTGTGTGCACGACAATAAAACTATATACTTCGTTATATGCTGCGCTTTTTTTTTACAAGGGGGCATCAGCGGAGCATGCGTACCTACCTTGGTTAGCTTTATGTATGCATCTGGATGCTAACACATCTTTA